GGGGGGGAGAGAGAGAGAGAGAGAGAGAGAGAGAGAGAGAGAGAGAGAGAGAGAGAGAGAGATCACACATCAGCAGAGGGCCTATAGCTCATATTTTCTGAAAATCTGAAAATATACTGCCTGTCTTGGATAGTTTCACCAATGATTAGTAGTCTATGTGCTGAGGACAAGGGCAAATGATTTCCCTTCATAGATCAATGCCTAGTGCAGTGCCTCATTCTCAGCACATGCTCAACAAAGATTTGCAATCGATGCTAATAAGAACTCAAGCAATAAAATGTACATTTTCACCCTCTGATGTGGCCATATTGGTGTAAGATGATGAGGAAGAGTTTAAACATTGTCATGGAAACCATGTATCTACAAAATATTCTTATTTTATTGTCCTGGAAAATAAAATCTCAAGGAATGATGAGAAAAAATAGAGCAAAGGATGATGTGGCATAGCTATTTGGAGAAAAGACTGCGTATTCATTATTTTTGAAAACATTCAGAAATAATTTTTAAAGCTCTTCTCAAAGTGAAAGGAATGAAACTAATTACAGAACTTGGGAAAGGAGTCTTGAAAATGCCAATATAGATCTGGGTCGGATTAGAAATTAGGTAAAAGCTTTGGAATCTTGCTTTAAATAATGCAAAACCAAACTGCTACCTACTTTTTTAAACTTATCATCCACACATCCCTTATACAACATATGGCACAGTTTAACAACCATGCATGGCCCTTTTCTAATCCCAAATCTTTGTTCATTCTATTTTCTCATCCTGAACTGTTTTCCATTTCTTCTTGAGTACAGACATCCTATTTATCCTTCATGAATCCATTTCTCCAAAAAAGGCATCTTGATTTTTTTCTTGTAAAATTTTCTCTTTTAGAAATGCTGTGGTGCTTATTTTACTAGGTTTATGGCATTTGACCTGGTTCCTCAGCATTAGTTTTTAACTCCTTGGGGTAAGAGGCTCTATCATGTAAACATAAATTCAATACATCGCTTAATATAATTCTGATCATTATGCTGTTCTGAGAGAGAGTGGACAAATAAAGCTTACTCAGTTTTCTTCTTATTTGGTCTCTTTTTGTCTTTTTCTATGATGAACAGACTAGGATCTATTCATCTTGTGTTACAATTGCTTTCTAGCATTAAGAACCGAGGTGTAATAATCATAACTTTCACAACTCGGGAGTGCTATATCCCCAATACAAATTGAAACCGGGATTAAGAATGAATATAACTTATCAAAGGCTATGGATACATTTCTTCAGCATTTTTCTGATCATGGATCCCCGCTTGGAATTACATTTCTCAGATGATACCATTTCTATTTATTCTCTAAGAGGCAACTCAGATACCCCCCCTTTTTTGAAAGTTTGTCTTTCATGAAGCTGATGATGGATTTTTCTGCTTCTTGCCATGCTTTCTCTCTCTCTCTCTCTCTCTCTCTCTCTCTCTCTCTCTCTCTCTCTCTCTCTCTCTCTCTCTGTGCCCAATTTATATGCCACTTGTTATTATAAGGTATCTTTTACCTATGTTATTATTTACCAACTAGAGTACAATTCTTCAAGATGGGGCCTGAAGTATTGTTTTTTTTCTTTTAATTCCCTTTGAATATTACATAGTCCCCCCTCCCTTCCTCTCTGGTGGGAGAAATAATTTCACTACTTTAATCTATTTGGTGAGCAGCAATTTCTTAATAAAAATGAAGTTTCATGAATTTTCAAGTTTATCCCATTGTTCTTTTTACATAGCATTAACTTATTTCAGAAAATTGCTTAAGGAATATGGACAATGCTACAACAATTTCAGGTAAGATATTTTGTTTTACTTTCCCTTTAGACAAAATAAATTTATGACCAGAAATAAATTACCCACATTTCCATCAGATTTTGGTTTCTCAAGATCTTTTCAAGTACTTGTAGTACATATGTAGAGACAGATTTTTTATTTGGGAGCTGGGGGAAGAAGGAATAATAACTAATAAGCAACAAAAATACAGACATTAGTCTTCTCTTGAAT